TCCCGAGACGCCGCTCGCCCGAGTGTTGGGACCAAACAGATAAAGTCATGCCTGACACATGATTCTCCATTCTGTCGTGCTAACAGCACACTAGAGATGACAATCGTGCGACGAAAAAGATTGTACCTATTCGTGTGGTCACAAAAGTCCAGAACCCACGGGCTGCTCCCCGCTGATCTCCGGAGAGCGCAGCCTGTGTTGAGCGGGAAGCCTAAAACGGTTGTGAGGTTAAGCTGTTATGTGCAGGATGTGACAATTCCTTAGGTGAGCCCAGAACCAGAGCATTATGTGACGGCTCTGCATTTATGGAAGCCTCCTTGGATGGCGGGGAATGCCCATGATCTGCCCCTGCCTTCCCTTGAGGGCCAACCGTTCCACACAGGGCTGCTCCAAAGGGGGTACTCTGGGGGCAACACCTGTGGAGAAAGGGACAAAGAGGACACCACACAAATAAGGTAACATCTCAACCCACACAAAACAATGGCCACAGTCATCCTAGAATTAGGCCTGACGTCTTCCCTCGAAGTCGGAGTACTTCTGCCCGCAAGGCAGGGAACGGTAAAAGCCAGTAAAACGGTTGTACACGCAAAACTCAGGTCCAGGTAAAAGCCAAAAGTCAAAGCGGACGATTAACAGGGACCTTCCGCCGATGAATGAAGAAGGAGGAGAAGAATCACCTTCTTTATCTTATTACTGTTGATATATATAGCTATATAGGCATATCTCTTATTTCTTTGCCCTCCTGAATTCATTAAAAAAATGTTCATGTTAAGTCTGCATTGCAGGGAATAAACTTAGCCTGCCTTTACCTTGGGAGTCATAGTGTAGTGGCTAGTATACCTGCTGGCTGGCCCAGTAGTCATGTGTTCACATCATTATGGAGGCAGGGATTTAATGTTAAAAAGCTAATCTTGGCTCCTGCGTTGAGCAGCCAAAAATCGTTGGCATGGGACAATTTTCTGGTAGTATAAGCAGTCAGTAAGATATTGACCGGGCTATCCACAAAGTAACGACTAGGCAATAAGCACGGGGTTGGGGTCATCAAACAGCTCAATGTGTGAAAAAGTTTTTTTCACCAAGGTAACAAAGCTGACTAATGTCAGAATAAAACTGCACGCTAAAGACTTTGACTTTTACCTCAGTATGTTTGTAGACTGTCAGTTATAGCGGTGCTTTCGGTCAGGCATGAAGGAAAGTTAAGGCTATTGTGGTGTGTATAAGGAGTCAATATCTCACCAGCTGCGGACTCTTGCGCAACATTCCTGCTACATGTTGTGCACTATAGATAATGGTTCCTATTGGCCTCGGAGTTGGTGGCCCAGAAATCTTCTGGCTCTTATTAAGCATAGGAATAATGTCTAGTAAAAACTCATTTGGAACTTGAGTTAAGCCCACTAGCTAAATATCCTATATGGTAAACCTTGCAAACATTCCACTATGTGACAGACAAGGTTATAATGTCCACTACTATTGACCACACTCTGCTAAACAGGGAAGCCATGCTGATGTATGTATGCTCAATAATGTGATGCTAAGTGTCCCAGTGCACCAACATTGAGGCGTGACATGCTGAAGGAGATTGTGCCCATTTGTGTGGTCATCAAAGTCCCTGACCTGCGGGCTGCTCACTGTTGATCTCCAGAGGGTGCAGCCTGTAATGAGTGGAAAGCTCAAAATATGGATGTGAGGTTTAGCAGTAGCCCAGGACCAGAGCATCATGCGTGTGTTGACTCTGCATTTATGGAAGCCTCCTTGGATGGCAGGGAACGCCCATGACCTGCCTCTGCATGGATAGTGGGGATTACCCATGATCTCTCCCTGCCTTCCTTTGAGGACCAACCAATCTACCAGTAGTTGCCCTGGATGAGTTTTCTGTAGATAAATGGATAGAGGATGAAATGCAGATAAGGCAGTGTCGTGTGCCATGAAATCAACTTGGAAGGCTAACCCGGTGAACAAATGCCTGATGAAGTTGGATATGTAGGCCAAAATGTGCAGATATGGCAGCTGTGCTGTAAACAGGCACATCACAGTTCTGTAAAACAGAGAGTAAAGCCACTGCATGTTGAAGTGGGCGTAGTTGGGCACTTTTTCCTTCAAAATCAGAGTGCACCTGCCTGAGAAAGAAGGAACCAACAGTCTGAATATAAACAAGCCAGATCTGTAAAATGGACATGTACACAAAACTCTGGATCATGACCAAAGTCCTGGAGCGGAAGAACAACCAGAACTGTCTGCCAGAGTTTACAACCGGTGAGCGCTAAGAAGATAAGCAACAGAGCAAACCTAGATGCCAGGTTAAGCATTACCAAAAGCACCCAGATAGTAACAACAAAAACAGACATGCTTAACCAAGTCACTTTAGTTCTACTGTGAACATTTCAAATGTAATGGTGTTTATGGTTTATACAACAGATCCATAAACTGAACATGAGCTGAGGTAACTAGATGCTGGCCTGAAGGTATTGGGTTCAAATCCACATGATAGAGATGTTTTTAGTCACTGACCTGGACTTCCAGGCTGACCATGGCTGAGAATGCATAGAAGCAAATGTATCTGGAATAAAGGAGGCTTGCATGATGTTGACTGTATCACACAAGGAATGCTGACTGGTCTGTACAAATTAAGGATCTAGCATCATATGTGACACGGATATGAAACGGCTCCTTTACTTTTACATCACATGAACCAACCTTCCTCTCTATTTAAACAACAAGAGCACAGAAAACTAACACTGGAAACGGTTTTAAGTAATATCTGTTTATTTCTTTCGTTCTTATTCACTTTTCAAAGTGTAAGACAAAACATCTAGCACATGACAGATATTGAAATTGTGCATGTTTATACAGTAAAGGCAAAAACAACATTCCACATGTTTTCTGGTGTGTGTGTGTAGAAAGAGACACAAACAGGTTTATCTCAAAAGTGCAAGCTAAAATTATTGGCCTTTTACAACATACTTGTTAGGGGGCAGTCTATTACACACCCCCCCCCCCACAGGGTTCTGGAACACAAATGTGTAGAAACATACAACAGTATCATGTGGGCAATGTAAGCAAATGGCCTGGCAAATGATGAGGGTCTAAGAACTAAATGGTTTGCAATGTTTCGTCTCATGATGAAATGACTTGAAATTTTTTTATATAAATTTTTTTTTACAAGATTAACAGACAGACAAGCTGTTGAAAAGATTTGGATATTGCTAAAACACTGAAATGCAATCTAATCCTTTTTAAAATAGACAATGTCACTGATTACAGTGGGAGAGGAATTGCTGTGCCCTTAGCTAGAATATAGGACGTATCCCACATAGGTCATCAAGTACATTTATTACAGTAGTGTCCTGAAATTATATTTAACCTACATCAATGTTGAGTAAAGTACCAATAGAATGTTGTTTTAGACCATCACATATGCTAGGTCAAGACAATGAGGCAGACAACATTTCTATAAGAAATATCTTGTCTCAAGAAATACCAAGCAGAATTTTTGTTTTAAGTCTGTCACAGTAACCCTGTAAGTCGCATTCAGAAAAGGAAGTACCCATTCATATTCCTTGCTATAACAAAAAGTTAGCTGTATTATCTTTGTTAGGATCTTGCAAATCAACCTCAGCATTCAATGAATGTTGCATGTTTTGTTTTTTTAAATGTTCAGTAGTTTGCCAGGGATTACTGGTATAGTAGGGCAGCGTGGAGTAGCGGCTGGACGCTCGCCTGCAGATCGGAAGGTTGAGGATTCATGTTCTGACGAAGCCAGACTTTTTTCCTTTAAAAAAATGACACTGGCTGCCATGTCAACCCAGCATGATGCTGATACCACCCACAGAGTGCTGATTGGTCTATTAAATATAGGTCTAGCTCAATATGCCCGATACACCTAAATGAATGGGAAAGGGTATTTTACTGGTATAATGCCTAAACTGTTGTCAAAACCGGTGAAAAGCAGTCTGCTACCCTATCACCAGCAGATGAAATTGAATCATGTTATGTTTAAATTGTGAAACTGCACTCACAACCTCTAAGCTGGTCATCAACTACTCGTATCCATAACTACTAAGGTGGAACAACTGTAAATATTTACATTTTAGCCAAAACTGTTAGGGTGGAACAACTGCAGATGTTCAGAATTTACACTGTTATTGGTGGAAATATCAGCACCAACTGACGCTCAACCTATGGATCATGCTGATATTATTCATGCTCTCTGAGAAATGGGAAAGGTGGAGGACTTTGGGGGCAGTGAATCCACATCACTCGCCAGAATGATAGACTTGGGAGTTAAGATCAGCATAGCAAAAAACAAGACACATCAGTCAGAGGACTTGTTAATCAATATAGAACTGGTACTATTAGCCACCGGGGTTCATACTGAGGGGAGGATCTGAGCAGCTATGGACACGTCCGGAGTGCAATGATGATAACCCAACTAACTAACTAATCAGCATCAAGTGTGAGCAACTAAGCTCAGTAAAAGATTTGGTTTCCAGTGCTAACTGTCACGCCCATATGTTTTTGTATGGTCATGCTAACATATTTCTGAATAACTGGAAGACTTTACTTATTATTTGTGAATGTTCAGTGACAATCGTGGTGTAATGTAAATAATGTACAAGATGTTCGTGCCCACACACACACACACACAAAGATTCTACATGTTGGATGATGGGGGCAGTAAGTAGACAAACTGAGGGCAACCTAGTCAGTCACTGTCAGATAGAATAATGAAACCAGTCCACATAGTTTTGTCAAAGGCCAAGGTGTTTTTGTTCAATTTTCTGTGTTTTGTTGTAGCCCAAGACTGGTGGCCACAAGTGAAGGGGTCAACGAGGACAATTTAATATTTCTTACATTGAATTCTAACAGGTAAACTGACAGCCAAAACAAGTACAGCTCTTTTACAGCATAAACTCTTGTCAACAAATATTCTGCAAATAGCATACACAGACATAAAACAGTCAAATACACATTCTGTGGAGTCCCTTGAGCTGCCTGACAGGTTACACCATTTCATAACCAAGAGGATCCTTGTTCTCGTCTAGAAGACAATGAGATGATTTGCTGAATTGTGTCAGTAGATGCTGCATGGATTCCTTGTCAAATTCCTGCACAAGTTCACAGAATAAAATAAGTTAATGGAAGCCACTTTCATATGCATTTCGATTTCTTAAAATGATCTGTTGTTTGTCTACTAGTTCGGCTGCTATGTGCCTTTTGCGATAAAACCAGGTGAAAATTTGTTCAAGATGTACAATCTACCTTTCCAGACAAGTGGATGAAAGTGGTCTCAAACTCTAGCTCAGAATTACCAAGTTCTCTGAGAGAGCAAACATCCAAAATGTTTACCAAGCACCCAAAAAAAAAGTTTCTAAGTATATTGGTACCTTGGTATACGTTCACTCTGATATATTTTCAACTTGCTACACATCCTGTTTAGATGCAAAAACTTGCTTAGTATATGACCTTTGTTTGAAACACGAATTTACATGGGTCAAAATTAGTCACGACATCATGCACCATATTTGTTTAGCTCTTCCGGGACAAAGCCATGGGTAGAGTTCAATGACTTTCAGAAAAGTATCACCCCAACAAATCCTGTCTGAAATGACCTGACAATATTCACCCCAACAAATCCTGCCTGGAATGACCTGACAATATTCACCCCAACAAATCCTGTCTGGAATGACCTGACAATATTCACCCCAACAAATCCTGTCTGGAATGGCTGACAATATAACATTTCCAAAAAAATCCTGAAAAAAAGGCAGAAGCAAAGTTCTTTGAGCAGATTTGTAGTTACAGTCAAACCTGTATTTTATTAGTATTCGGCAGCAGATACATTAGTCAAATTAATAATAAAAGGGAAGAATATAATATGAGAATAAACACTACGAAAACAGAGACAATGGTGACAGGAAGACAGAAAGACAATTTAGAAATAAAATTTAAAAAACACCTTAAGACAAACAGAGGAATTCAAGTATTTGGGAGCAATTTACACATCTGATGGAAAAGTGGACAGAGAAATTAGCTCAAGATGTGCCAAAGCTAATCAAGTAATGTGGCAACTATCTCCCCTGTTGACACAAAAGCAGATACCCCAGAGTACTAAAGTGAATCTTATCAGAACTATTTTTTTGCTAACACCATGCTATTAGTGCCAAACGTGAACACTTAATCCTTTAATAAATGTAAAATTGTGACAACAGCGATGAAATGCCTTAGAAGAGCTGCAGGAGTTTTAAGGAAAGACAGAATACGAAATCATGAAATCAGACAAATGCTAGAAAAAAAGCCAGTCTTTACAGATCATCAAAGAACAACAAATGAAGTGGTTTGGACACCTAACAAGAATGCCGTGGTACTATCTACCACAGTGAGCCACACTGAAACGCTAGAACAGGCAAAGAGTGGACGGAAGACTTCGGAAAAAATGGAGTGATGGCATTAAGAACAGCCTTACAGACATGAACATCAACTTAATAGTGCTCTTGTCAGAGCTTGTCAACAAACTTTACCTCTCCTCCCAACACTTCACTGAGGTACTAGGTGGAAGAGAAGAAGAGAAGATACATTTTTTTTTACAACCCCATTGATGTATAATATGTCATTAACAACAGGCTTTTAAGTTTTCCATGAGAACAGATCAATCATTCTCTATTTCTTATAGGAAAAAAAGTGTTTGGCATAGTTACTTTTTGATCTATGTCCAAGGATCAGAAACAGGTTAAATTTGCCCACTGAGATACCAATGTATATCACAGTGTGAGAATGAATACCCAAACTTCTCAAATAATGGCTGGAGAAAATGGAATTCCTTCATCAAGTTATATCAGCTGAGAATCCCACAACTGGAAATCAGGGCTGTTAAGTTGTTCAAACAAAATCACTAGGTAGGATTAAACCCGCCCATAGGGAGACAGAGCATCATTTTGAATAGAAGCATCCAGAAGAAGTACACCTTACAAAAATGATTGCGAAAGACACACTTGATCCATGAGTTTTAGCAGTGCACAACTAGGCATACCACACTCCCCATTACAGAAAAAGAAGTCTGAGGGGGAAACACTTGGAAGTGTGTGCTGAGATTGGTGTTTGGGTCAGTCAATGTTTTGGAAAGTTTAGAACAGATGTTTTGTGAGGAACTATTGATCAGGGCATGTAGGTAATGTGAGACACACACACACAAACAGATAGGGTGTATTTACTAAGGGAAATAAGTGAAAGCCTTGTGCACTGTGATGTATCTCTGGAATGTTTTTGAGTAAAGCTGTGGAAACTCAAGTATGAATGAGGTCAAAGTAAACACAAGTCAAGATAGTTCCAATCTGTTAACCAGTCTGCAACAAGGCCAGCAAGAATATACTACCTCTTACTACTCTAGAAAGAACTAAATACTTAGCTTGTTCGGAAAGCAATGACACTGGTTCATCATCACGCACTATTTGATATTTTATCTCATAAAGAAATCTTCCCACTCAGGCTTGAGTTAGAAGTAGAACGGAGCACTTATGGGTTACTACCCTTGTGCCATGACGTTGATTCTTTGCATAAACCAAACCAAATTCCATTAAAAATGTGTGCTTTATATACATTCAAATTATATCCATATTCCTTAGCAGTAAGTTCAGGTGGGTGATAGTCCTGTTAAGGAAGACCTTAATTACATCTTTTTCAAGGAGCATTCGATTTATACTTGGGTGATAGTCCTGCTAATGAAGACCTTAATTACATCTTTTTCAAGGAGCATTCGATTTATTCTTGTTTCTTTAACAAGCTATTATTATTTTCTGGGTTTTAATTTCATTATAGCTGCCAACTGTTATCCCATAATCTATGCTTCTTTCCTCTCCTTCTAGTGCTGATTAATGCCCGTGAACTTTTTTATGAACACAATAGCAGAACACCTAAAAGAAGTGACTACTTTTATATTTTAAATTTTGGGGGGGAGGGGGAGGCAGTCCTGTCAGGGGATTAGCCTTCCATGGATATAAATTCTAGGCCAACGCATAGCAGGTGCGGTGACCAGTTCTCGCTGCAATGTCACAAAGTGTCAATATGAGAGTATACTGGTTAGAAAAAAAATGCTGCCAATTCTAGGGACTGAACATGTATGACATAAATTGTAAGTTAATGCTAACAGTACTTTATAAAGCTGATGTTATTTATTTATAAACCTAATTTAAAAAGTTGTCTGCATATCCTTTACAGGAAATCACAAACCCGCCACACCTGCCTGTGGCTTTACTAGACAACTTTACATTCAGTGGCTGGCCACTTTCTGAATAGTTCAATGCTAATATCATTGTCAAAATCACTGTAAAGTAGTCTGCTGCCAACAGCCTGCTTGGAGCTGAATCAGACCCAGCATATAATACTGAAACTGCTCATAAACCTACCCCAAAAGCTACAAGCATATGGCATAAATTACAAGCTAACTGACACCTTATACAGCCGATGTTATTTATAGATATAACAGACAGCACATGACAACAATGACTGCTCAACACTGACCTTAAACAGCTGATGTTATTTATAGTTATAACAGACAGCACATGACAACAATGACTGGTCAACACTGACCTTATACAGCTGATGTTATTTATATATATAACAGACAGCACATGACAACAATGACTGGTCAACACTGACCTTATACAGCTGATATTATTTATAGATATAACAGACAGCACATAACAACAATGACTGGTCAACACTGACCTTATACAGCTGATGTTATTTATATATATAACAGACAGCACATGACAACAATGACTGGTCAACACTGACCTTATACAGCTGATGTTATTTATATATATAACAGACAGCACATGACAACAATGACTGGTCAACACTGACCTTATACAGCTGATGTTATTTATATATATAACAGACAGCACATGACAACAATGACTGCTCAACACTGACCTTATACAGCTGATGTTATTTATAGATGTAACAGACAGCACATGACAACAATGACTGGTCAACACTGACCTTATACAGCTGATGTTATTTATAGATATAACAGACAGCACATGACAACAATTACTGGTCAACACTGACCTTATACAGCTGATGTTATTTATAGATATAACAGACAGCACATGACAACAATGACTGGTCAACACTGACCTTATACAGCTGATGTTATTTATATATATAACAGACAGCACATGACAATAATGACTGCTCAACACTGACCTTATACAGCTGATGTTATTTATAGATATAACAGACAGCACATGACAACAATGACGGCTCAACACTGACCTTATACAGCTGATGTTATTTATAGATATAACAGACAGCACATGACAACAATGACTGGTCAACACTGACCTTATACAGCTGATGTTTAAATATATAACAGACAGCACATGACAACAATGACTGCTCAACACTGACCTTATACAGCTTATGTTTATATATATAACAGACAGCACATGACAACAATGACTGGTCAACACTGACCTTATACAGCTGATGTTTAAAGATATAACAGACAGCACATGACAACAATGACTGCTCAACATTGACCTTATACAGCTGATGTTTATATATATAACAGACAGCACATGACAACAATGACTGGTCAACACTGACCTTATATAGCTGATGTTATTTATAGATATAACAGACAGCACATAACAACAATGACTGGTCAACACTGACCTTATACAGCTGATGTTATTTATAGATATAACAGACAGCACATGACAACAATGACTGCTCAACACTGACCTTATACAGCTGATGTTTAAAGATATAACAGACAGCACATGACAACAATGACTGGTCAACACTGACTTTATACAGCTGATGTTATTTATATATATAACAGACAGCACATGACAACAATAACCGGTCAACACTGACCTTATACAGCTGATGTTTATAGATATAACAGACAGCACATGACAACAATGACTGCTCAACACTGACCTTATACAGCTGATGTTTAAAGATATAACAGACAGCACATGACAACAATGACTGGTCAACACTGACCTTATACAGCTGATGTTATTTATAGATATAACAGACAGCACACGACAACAATGACTGGTCAACACTGACCTTATACAGATGATGTTTACAGATATAACAGACAGCACACGACAACAATGACAGGTCAACACTGACCTTATACAGCTGATGTTTAAAGATATAACAGACAGCACATGACAACAATGACTGCTCAACACTGACCTTATACAGCTGATGTTATTTATATATATAACAGACAGCACACGACAACAATGACTGCTCAACACTGACCTTATACAGCTGATGTTATTTATAGATATAACAGACAGCACATAACAACAATGACTGGTCAACACTGACCTTATACAGCTGATGTTTATAGATATAACAGACAGCACATGACAACAATAACTGGTCAACACTGACCTTATACAGCTGATGTTATTTATAGATATAACAGACAGCACATGACAACAATGACTGCTCAACACTGACCTTATACAGCTGATGTTGTTCTGAGGCCACAATGTCAGCAATCTGAAGAGCTTCTGCATACATGCCTGTAGTGTGCAGGACAGTGTGCAGATTCAGGCACAGACCAGGCAAATGTAATTTTCTCAGCTGGCTCATCTGATGACGCCTGGACTCATCAGCATCCTGTCACAACATTCACATGCCACTGTCAGTGCTAGATTCTATGCCATTTCCCTTTCAGACATTGACAACTGACAAAATCTCTCACTGCAGTGGAAATATGGTTTCTAAGAAAATTGTTGTTGAATAATGTCGTGAAATCAATATTGAAAAACAAAAACATCCTCTTCTCCTCAGTGTTCACAGGTTGTACACTCTAACAGAAAATCCTGGCTGTCTACTTCAGGACTTTGGTCTTGTTCCCCAATGTGAGTTTTTGCGTGCACGTCCATCTGACAGACCTGACTTAATTGTATGCAGACTGATGGTTCCCCGCCTCTCATGCAGTGTTTCTCCTTAAGAGGAAACACCCCTAATTAGTAGCTTTTTACAATGCACTTGTTGAGGGGAAGGGGGCAGTGAGTCTGTTCCCCCCTCCATGAGACTCTGGAACCTACACAGGGTAAAACCAAAAAAACTAAACACTAATACATATATTGTTTAAAAAAAGACAATCCTTGAGGGCCAACCTGTGAACCACTAGTATATAGTGTAACAATCACTGAGAACCAAGCTGTGAACATTGATATATAGTATAACAAGACAATCACAGGGAATGGGGTGGGGAGAGGGGGGCGGGTAAGGAACACATTAATCGGTGGACACACATACAGTAAACAAATCATGGGGGACCAATCTGTGATAACTGATATAAGATATATAGTACAGAAGACACTATGAACACTAAAAAAGACAAATCATGGGGAAGTATAACTTGGAACCAAGCATCCAAATAATTCATTGTTAATAAGTCAGTAAAACAAAACTACAACTTAGTCATAAGTGGTGTAAGTTCTCAAACAATAACAGAAATCACTACTTTTTTTAAATACCTTACCTCAGAAGTATCCACAAGCCATCCACCATCAGCAAAAAGCAGCACATTGTAAATTCGATCTCTTGTTGCCTAAAGGAAATGCACGCGATTAGAACACAAGAAAATTCTAAAATATCTTTCTTTTTTTTAAATGTCCCAGGATGTTTAATTAAAAAGTTCACTATCATAAACAGAAACTAGATAAACAATGTCAAGGTGTTCCCATGCCATGCAAAAATTAGGGACAATGCTTCAGCTATTTTTTAAAGCTACACCAGCCTGACAAGGGTTGTGCTGTTGGTGTCTAGCCAGCCAGTTTTAATGTGCTAGATATATTTATATGGTCAGATAAACGGCACAGCCCTATGGTCACATACACAAACTCCCTGAATGTATGTGGATTTAATCCCAGAACCACTTAAACAACAGATCAGTTTGCTAGAACTTATGTGGGTTTAAAACCAGAATCACATTACCAGCAGATGAGTATGCTAGAAAGTGCACCACTGTACTCTCTGTGAGCATGTAGTGTTTCAGTCAACACAGAGCGGGCCATTTCCACTCCCAATCACTGTGTAGTCTGAGGTGTGATTTTTTTTCTGGGAGCACAATGGCATAGTGCACCAAGATTCAACCTCAGCTGTGCAGCATTAAGGTGATACCAAACACATTTTATGGTTAATCGCAGCTGGTGTAAAGGTTTTTACTTAAGCAGTTCAGCTGAAAATACCCTACCCCACAATCATCCCCATATAGTAAGGACAAAACACCGACTGATCATCATCTCTTTGACAAGATGGAGGGGACCCAGTGCTTCAAAACCAATAAGGAGGTCAAGGACAAGCAAACAAAATAAATGAAGAGGAGAAACAATGGATGAACTGTCTATGACTGAAGAGTGCAAACTTTAAGGTGCATGTTCTAGTGTGTATGCTTTAATACCCAATCACTTTTGTTTCTGTTTGAAAATCTGCTTTCTCTTATTAGCAACTTGTCTATTAACCAGTATTATATACACACACAAAATGGAGTTAGAATATGTTTGAACCTTATTTAAATTTCTTAAAGTCATTAGAGTTTATAAGTGATATCAAATTCAATTCACGTAAATTAAAAAAACATATGTCACAGATTAAAATAAGAGAAAACAAAGGAACTGAATGGAAAACATCACAAGACTAACAAAGGCTCACCCTGGCCTGCAGGAGAAGATTGTGTCTCCACCTTTCATACTCATGCCTGTACTGTTTCATCTTGTGCTCTAGGGCAACTCTATCAGTAAATGTCCCTCCATCAGTTCCAACTGGCTTCACCGGCTGGCCTTGGTGGTACAAGCTAAACCAGTCATTGAAACTCTCCACTGCATCCTGTTTGTAAAGAGAAAAGTCAATACCATTAGCCAGGTATTTAAGCTAAACCTCAAATATGCACAACAGCTATCTGTAATTTTGTGCTACAGTAAAACTACAATTAAACAACATCATCGTTTTAGCCCTTGGACTGGACACAAAAGCTTCTTGATGACCACTATTTAACTTGTGCTGTCCTCAGAGGCAGATCTGTGCTTGCTTGTTTTATAAATGTTGCCTTTGTTCTTCTTCATCCTCTAGAATTGTCCCTCCTATATTCTCTTTGGTAATTCTTCATATCTTTGGGCAGGGCTATTCAATATCGAAAGATCATTAACACAACTGGCTGAAAACTGTGGGTCGCCAGTTGAATAGCCCTGACTTATGGGTGTGACTGCGCTATGAGAGTCTCCATGGTTTGGTTACTCTGAGAAAAACCTTAAACTGCGTGGCTTCAAAATACCAGAATCTTAAAATGTATTATTGTTTCTCAACATGTTAAAAACAACCCACACACAGATGCAGCTAATTTCAAATTCATTCAGATAACATACCAGCCACTGGAAATTGGACGGATTTCTAGTTTAAAACAATAACCATTTTGGCGCTCACAAAATGTAAGTGTATATTTGTATGTGGCCACATTGACTCCACTAATTTGCTATTATGATAAACTGTAATGGTGCCCTAAATCATCAAACAGCATGTGTAAATGCCATGGTTTGTGCGCATGACTTTGTTAAAACAATACCCACATACCAGATATGCTTTAATGCACATGTATTCTCGAATAGCATTGTTGTCAGCTGGAGGCAGCTCACTAGTACCAGTCTGCAACAAGGAATAAAACAAACAGTTACAGATTTAAAGATCTAAAAGAAAATTATGCTCTTAATAATTCTTGTTCAGAGCAAAATGTTAACTATGCTGTTGCTACATCTGGGTGAATTTGATGCATGCTCGTGATGAGAATTTTAAACTCTTTTTTCCTTATCCTTCACGTTCACAGGCAGTAAACTCCAGGGGCAAGTTCAAGTTGTTTATTAACCTCTGGACTATGATCTTGTTCCAGTACAGAGTTTTGCATGCACATCCGGTTCAGAGACCTGGCTCATGTGTGCAGGCTGCCGGTTGTTTGCCTCTCAAAATGAGGCACCCTAAATTGAAGGCAGCATACCTTCAAAAGAGCACAGTCCTTCGCCAACACACAGAGTAAGTCCTTCGTTGAGCTGTCCATGGCAGGTTGTATTTTTAGCTCATGTTTTCTATTTGATGAGGTAGTTAGTCATGTGCTATGGTAACTCATCATTACTACAATGTGTTTCCATTACGAGCCAACCATGGCAACACACCAGCAAATCTTCAGCTTCATTACAATAAAAAAAATTGACATATTTCAGTTCAGAAAAGGACCCTTTTCATGGCTCTGAGACACTGGGCACATAGTGCTAGACCCATACTTTTATATACTGATATGCATTTTTTGGATGACGTCACCATCACGTTGGCCACCTTTGCTTCCCAGGAAACTACCAGGCACCCATTTAAGGTTGGGTTAACCTGGGAGCCAAGGTCAATTCTGAAAGAAATCTGCCTCATTGAATTGATCTTCGAGCCAGTAACAAGCATCCAGACGCTACATTACCGTGGCTCTCAATCTTCAGCTAACTAAAAAAAATGGCATATTTAAGGAATTTTAACATTTTCTTTACCTTCAAATGCCACTGGCTGTATATTACATCAATGGTGTCCAATGGCAACTTTTCAAATGTTTGGCGGGCTGCAGTATGCTTCTTTAGAACTGAAAAATAGCAAGTTGTGATAGCTGCCCCTACAGTATATCTAACAAAGTTCCTGCAGCATTCAAAAACTATATTTATTACTTAACAAAACACATGCTATTGCATATTATTTCTTCAGAGCTAATATTTTATTATTTTAAGACATAACTAACATATTTTTAAAAGGTGGTAACAGGTGAGTGTATCGGTTCAAAGTATGCTGTTTTTACCCCTTGCTAGTTCTTTCTGCAAAGCAGTTGGCTATTTATGAAAATGTTGCACAAAGCACAAGCCTTATAGCTCCAATGACCACCTCCAAGGATCTAAAAAAATTCACTTCTGTGAGCCAAATGAGGGTTTTAAAACAATCCTCTGATCTTTTAAGCTCTAGGAAAAAACGGTTTGGACAATTTCCAGAAGGGTACCAAGTTCCCCATTTGTTTATAATTACTCATCACCATCATCCTGCCATGCAGTTACATGTCACATAGGGCTTGGCAGTAACATGTCACATAGGGCTTGGCAGTAACATGTCACATAGGGCTTGGCAGTAACATGTCACATAGGGCTTGCAGCCTAGTCCTTTATTCTGTGCCATCCTTTGGATTTCATGGAAAGGAATCCAGTCCAGCACATCTGGCCTCTCTCAACAGCGTTCATCTTAGGGTTGCTCTTAAACATCCTTGTTTCCTCAAAGGATGTGTTTCTCCTTTCAACACCTGTTTAGTGATTTGTACGGATAGTAGTTGAGAAAAAAATGTGACAATTTTGGTAAAATATTAAATTTAAAAAAAAATACAATTTCCCATCATGGACACTGCACAATTGTTTAGACATCTTTTTACTTTAAATTCCCAAATGTCCTTTTATTTACATCTAAACACCATTATCTTGTAAGAAATAAGGTATAGTAGGCCTCAGGGGCCTTGCGTTGGTTTCGACAGTGGTATCAAGAAAGCCGACCGTTCAGAAGGCAATGGCAAACTACTGGACGTAAATTTGCCTAGAAAAACCACACAACGGCCAGGGGCTGTAGGGTTTGGTTCTGCAACGTCCGGTAAAGGATACACAACTAACCAATAGGCCTGAGGGGCTTTTCCATAGAAACTGGCTATAAAAAGGGCTTGGTAAGTTAAAATAGTTGGGAACCACTGCTTATGGAAAGGGAGTGTTGGAAGTTAAATTAAATCTCTACTCACAGACAGCAGTCTAATAATTCTTATGAGGGTTGGCTGACTCCAGAGCCACACTTCTTCTTCTGAAATACTTCAGTATTTTAGGATCCTCACCAGTGCTACCGAGTGTGTGAACTGCGCTGAGATTCTTCGAACTCAGGCTTGAGTCAGAAGTAGAACAGAGCACTGACGGGTTTCTACCCTTGTGCCATGATGTTGATCCCTTGTAGAAAGTAAACTCACCTTTTACAGTCCCATTATGCCTTTCAGTCCCAGGTTTTGAACCATCGGGTGCGAGCTTTGGCAGGTGTTACGCAGATGCTGGTATTTATGGCCTTGGATATTCGACCTATCCGTTGCTTGTAGGGTTGACCTCTAGCTCGGCTTCTACTGCATCAAAGTGCCAGGGCTCTCTGTGGTACACTAGCTGGAGGTAGTCTTGACAAACATCTTAACCATTTAATCTGTTGTCGCTTGATGTAGTTTAGTACTGGCTCCATACCAATTTACTCTCTGATATAGTTATTTGTGATCCTGTTTCTTCTAGGTCCATTTAGGATTCATTGTAAACATTTAATTTCTAAACTATTATATACAGAGTGACAGCTGCAGGATAAGAAACTAAATGTCATAATTTCATTCTTTTTTATTAGCTGCTGACATATTGTTTACCTGAAGAATGTGTGCTTACACAGAAACTTTGTTGAGTCTTTCTTTCTTTACATAACAGGGTCTTCTTTTTTTCTCTCTCTCTCTCCATTTACCTCAGTGAAGTGTTGGAGAAACATAGGAATCATTATGTTGGATATTTCCAATGTACTTTACTAAGTCAAAATCAATTATTATGGTTACCACCGAATACATGATTCTCCTTATTAGAAGGCAGAAGTTAAAAACCACATACCAATAAAAGAACGCATAATGGCATTAGCCTGTTTCAGAGCCTCAGATCTGTGAGCCTTGTAAAAAATCAGCCACTCAATAGCATCTATTTTTGTTCTGTCTTCCTGAAATAAGCCATACAAAATATCCTAAATGTAATGAGGAAAATTCTGGCTACTCAATCACAACAGAGCATACATGATGCTAGCTATATGTCCACAATGTTCAAGTATACAAATATTATCTTCCTTAATAAATATGCTCCAAGAAATACTAAGATAAATTTGGCATACTTGAATCAAATCAAGAAATGAGTAACAGGTATCACCATCATTGTACAAAATAGAAAAAAAATCTGAAAATATAAGCAGTTTAAATAAATAACATAATGACAAACGCTAAAGGAGTCAATAAAACAGACATCAAAAGAAACAATACCGAAGTAAAGAAGATAGCAAAGATGAAATTGATGATGGAGAAAATGCTACATCTGATGAAGATTAGAATAAAAGTAAACACAATCAAGAATACACCGAAAAATCGTACATAAATGTAATGCACCTAAAGAGGCTTTGCTAATAAATGCAGAGAAACTGAAGGACAAAGAGAGAACTCACAAGACAGGTACAACAGAATACAAGAACCCTTATATTTTGGAAAATATACAGTAAATCATCATCATGTCTGAGGTTACAGCAATTAGATGCTTGAAAACAAACTAAGGTGAAAGAGAAGGTAATTGAAAGATGGACAAAGTATTTAAAAAACCTATAGGATGATAACAGCAGACCAGACATAGAGAGTCATGAGTACTGTTAAGGGCTGCCAATAACAAAAACAGAAGTAGAAGATGATATACATCAAATGAAAAAAATGTTAATCTCCAGGATCAGATAACAATACTATTGATGAATAAAAGCTGTATGGTAAACTGGTACAGAAGTGTTGACAAAAATGTTGAATGATGTTTTAAACACTGGACATAAACTTATGGCCTTTTAAAACGTCTTTACACTACTTAAAAAAATACATGGTGCAGTGGACTGTGGAGAACATCATACAGTTAAGTTTATTGCATCATATAATTTTTAAAAAATTTATGAGAAGTATAATAAGAATAAGGTGCAAAATTTAATAAGAAACTGGAGAGAAGCAGTATGATTTTACTGAAGGTGAAGGTACAATTAAATACATATTCATCTTGAGAACAGAAATCTGTATCTGTGCTTTGCTGTGAAAGCATTGGATAAAGTAAAACATTAGGAAATTACTGAACTTTCAAAACCTTAAACATTGATGGCAAACATATGAGAGTAATTAACAAATAACATATGCCGGCAACAAGAAGCAGCATAAGAATAGACAACACTGATGAAACTTTTCAAAACATTAAACAAAGCATTAGACGGGATGTCTACTATCAGCCAATTTATTTAAATTTGAATAGTGAAATAACGAGATCCATACGAGGTATGCCGAGTATATTGACTGGTGGGCATATTATGAACGATGTGTGGTATGCCGATGATACAGCTAAACAATGAAACAAAACTGTAAGAAATTATGGACACAACTGTAACAGAAAGTCAAAACAAGGGTCAGAAAACAGAAGTAAAGGTAATTACAACAAAAATTGACCCTCCAAAATACAGCATCAAAGATAATGGGACAATCCTTCAGCAAGTTGATATGTTTATGTACGTGGGTACTTAAAGATCTATTCAAGAAGCTAAATACAGGAAGCAAAGGCAGCATTTTAGAAAATGAAAACTATTCTATGCAATCTTTCTTTGTCAACTGAGGTGAAAAAGAGAATTCTCAAGAGCTAAATGAATTCTATCCTGATATCTGGAAGTGAGTCATAGACACATGGCTAATTAGTGATGTTGAAGAAGCAGAGATGTGATTTGATAGAAGAAAGATGAGAACAACCTGCAAAGTAAAAAAAAAAAAAAAAAAGTAATGTCTTGAAAAAAACGCCTATATCAGAAGGAAACATCTACATTCTTGGGTAAAGTATGAGAAGGAAAAATATTAACTGTCTTACAGTAGGACAAGTGGAGGGGAAAAAGAGGCAGACAGAGACTCAGAGAGAAGACATAGGACAGTCTCATCTGACATCATGGCATGGAATATCAACTGTGATGGAAATGACAAAGTACACGAAAAAGAAGACTGTGGATAGACAAGACCACCAATTCCCCCACGACATGAACTATAAGAAGAAAAAGAAACAAATATATAAAACATGAAATTCAGCAAATGAACCGCACCCATTTTTATGAGGCTGGGTCAGAGCCGCACTAGTCAGGAAACAAATCCTGCTATCTCGGGGATATGACCAGGACCAGTCTTGGCAAGCTCCCACTAAGCTTCTGTGGCTACAAATGAGCCCTAGCTCACTTTAAATGTAGCACAACAATGTGTTCATAATGTGACAAACACAGCTGACATTTTCAACACACTTCTGGTGATATCATGTAAACAATTCTGCCCCAGCAAGTTGATTTGATCCATGTGACAGTAGTTAATGAACATCTCACTAACACACTCACACAATGAAATGGTCTGACGGGTACAAATACCTCTGTTACTGTCAGATCCTGAGCCAGACTATTCTCTGGCAGCCTTGTTTTAGTTTCTCTCAGTCTGACTTTCTCCACAACTGTTTTGGTAATGAGTCCTACATCAAGGCCTTCATCTTCTGCCCACACCAAGCACTGCTTCCGTTCAGCTTGGTCTTCAATATCTGGGGAAACATTTACAAGCAACATTTGTTTGTGTTCACACTTCTTAACTGTTTTTAATTTCTGTATACCAGCTCAAACACTGATTTAATTTGTTTTTGTTTTCAACTGTTTAAATGTGAATATTTATACCTCAAACAATACACACAGGTAACGGATAAATAAGATAATATAATTCAGTCTTTAAACTGCGGTTAGCGTGGGGGGTCGTTCCGGTTATGGGACAGTTCAGTGTGATGATGATGAATCAGGTATGTTGGGAATTGTGACCCCTAACTAAACTCAGGGCATGTTCAAACAGGCTGTTTCACGGAGAAATCTGTGTTAGCTGAACGAGGCTTGCTGAATGTCAGCGGACTTCATGAAGTGTCCACTGGACAGTGAACTCTGGGAGTTCAACAAAATATCTGTATAAAGCACAGATCGGGACTTTGGACTCTTGACAGAAGACTTGTGTGACATGGACGTTGTTGTGACCAGACCGTCAGATTTGTACTAGTTCACTGACAAGTTGTAATAACTTTTAGAAATGTGTTGTGTTAGATGCTAGCTGTATTTCGTACCGTCCGGTGTTTGACTAAATGTGTTTAGTACTTTGCGGTGCAGGTAATAATCATTTCATTTAGATCTCACTTAGCAGTTAGATTCAGGGTCGCAGTTAGACTCTGTCAGTAGTGATACCTCGTCACGGGAAACAAGACCACGCATTGTTTGTGGCATCTGCCGACGCACCTCCAGCCCGCACTCAGCATGTGCTATAGCATCTTTAGCATAGGGAGACAGCGAGTTGAGTTAGCGCTGTACGGGAGTGTGGTAGGAGCTCACAGCTTATTTCATGAAAAGGCGTGTCTAGCGATTTTAAAATTAGAGCGGCCTGGTTTCAGAATAAGGAGCACTACCCCTCCTGAGGCACAGAACTAGTAAAGATTAGTCAAATCAGTGTACTATGCTATTTCAAAAACACACATCAGACAAAGAAATAACAATAAACATGTCAGAACAGAACACAGTGTGAGATTTTCTAATACTGTGGTCTCTTAAATGAGTACCAGGTAAAGAACCACGACGTAAAGACAGTCAACATGATGCTGACCAGATAACCCTTTGAGTGATGATTGGTCTATAAAATATAAGTCCAGCCCTGTATACTCAATACGCCGTAAGGCTCGGAAAAGAGTCCTAAACTTTCCGTTTTTTTATGGTGCTGGTAATGAAGTCTGTTCACAGACTTCTGCCTCGTGTACTGTCAGTAATTTTTGATGTAGTTGTTTTCCCATGCTATATTGCTAAACTGTCCAATAGCCTCTCTCACGGACTTCCTTTGCCTCTATCCCTCCTACTTTAGTTGTTAAAGCATATCACAGTTTAATCTTCTGACAACATGCCCCAAGAATGTGGACTGTTCTCCTCTTGTGAACTGTGATGAGATGTACTTAAATATACCTCGCATTAGAAGGATGATGTTTGTTGGTTTACTGCTGTGGGAAAATACACCAAATACATTATTCACATTACCTTCCAGGAATGTTGCATACCACTGTACTTGGGCAGGTTGGCTTAGTGTAGACACATAGAATGCAGTCAGGTTTCTCTTCTTGTCTCTGATCAAGTCCCTCACATATGCCTCAATAATGGCCTCACAGAGTTCCTCCTGGAAGATAGTAGGTGCATAATTTACTTCAGTTTCTTAACAATAAAAATGAAAATAAAGGCACGTATTCAGCATCAGCTATACGTTACTAAGTTGACACTTTTTCATTTTCTTATTAATCACTTCTACCAGTATTTGGGTCATAACAAGCTCTAGAACAATCACCACTATCATTGTCTAAGGTTATGAAAGGTACAGACCTACAATCAGCAGTATCTAGGATTATAACAAGTCCTCATACAGATTCTTAAAGGTTATCTCATATATACACATGTATATGATTGTGTGTACGCATGTGTGTGTGTGTATGAATATATATATATATATAGGCTAGCTAAAGGATCTAATCTCTCAGATTGAGATTTGTAAGATATTATTCCTCTAGGTATACTATCTGCTTGTGAGGTTTGTCTTCTATACTTTACTGACTAGACTTTCTGGTTTTTAGTAGTGAAATCAATCTTAGCAGCAGTATTTTCTATGTCCATCAGTTTATGTCTTGCGTTGAATAGGGACAGTTTTTGTAATATCCTCTTTAGATGTTACATAATAGTTTGCTAAATCAAATAAATGTCCAGGACATCAGCATTTATGAAAAACACATTCTGCAATGAACAACAACCACCACTTACCTTGCAAGACTGGCCAATGGTTTTGAGGAAAAGCACAATATGGGCCATCAGTCTCACCAAGTGGCCAGGTAATGAATCCCTGTCTTTCTGAAGCCAACTGTACATCACCTCAATCAGAGCTGATCAGATATAAAACAAAACACTCAGAAATTCAGTTAACTCTTTGAGTCCCGGGGGTTTAGCATCACAGGCCCAAGGGGTAGCCAAGAGAGATGTAAAATCGGAGTATCTTGCGTTCACTGGGCTTCTAGGTAGGAATCTATGAACGTATGATGCGTTCCTTGGGTCTCAATGAGTTATTATTTATAAACTTTATGTGAGCAAAAAAATCAATCAAATACATAATATTTCTACTGGCATGTAATATTTGTAAATGTTACAACAATAAACAGTGACCATTTACTGATGGCATCAGCCGTGCCTTGAATTATAAATAAGAGTAAACAAATGGCAGAGTAGATACTAGGGCTACAAACCCGGAACATACACTCTTCAGGGCTGCTGACATACAGAGATGCAGGGAAGTTAAACAATGATATGAAGAGTGTAAGCAGAAGTTACGGAACTCCTGTACTGACTTGCAACAGAAGATTTTACTAATGGATCTAAGCCAATGGCTCAACATTGAACAAGTTACAGCAATGTAAAAACAATCAGCACATATTATATATATATATATATATATATATAATAACAAACAAATGGCACACTGACGCAGTAATGGAAAATTAATGATAGCTTGATCTTCTTCTTCTTCGCGGGCTGTAAACTCAGGCTGAAAAGTTCTGGATGTTTGTCCATTTCTGGACCCCAGTCCTCTTCCAGAAACTGAGTGTTGCGTGTACATCTGTTTCACAGGTCACGCAAACTGTTGGTTCCTTGCCTGTCAGGCAGATGTACTCCGACTTTGTAGGAAGCTCCCAATTAGTCGACTCTTAAACATGCTTTTGAGCAGGTGGTGGGTCTATTCTTTTTTTCCGCACAAAGAGGCCCCGGAATCCCACACGAGGAGATGGTTTGATGAAATTAAAGCATAGTGTTTTTAAGAACATCCACAGCACGTTTTAACAGAACACATTTAAACATTAGCAACTAAACTGAAGCCAAACAGACGGCGTTAAGAAGTGGTGCAGAGAAAAGTAAAACTGTAACCTACCAGACATATGTCAAAGGTAACTAAAGAGAACCTTGGCTGCCTTAGAGTAAACTTTAGCGGCAAAATCCAACCAGTCTGAAAAATTCTCAACATGTGGATTCTTTGCTCAATTTTAGAGGACAAATAACAGACTCACCACCCCCAAAAGGCATGTCATCATTAGACAACTAATTAAGGGTTTGATGAAATCTAGTTAGCTGGGCCAGAAGGTGCAGATATTGCAGCCTTGTGCTAAACTACAACATAATATCCCAACTGCCCTGAACACACAAGAAAAAAAATGAACAATTCTACGAATGACGTAATGTGAATAAGGTGAGGTCTTTGCTTCACTGGGAGATGAAAGAAAAAAAAAGAGATGACAGAAACATAAGGAAGTAAAGTGCACATTAACAAAAATACATTTTAAACCAGTTTTTTCCCAATCATTTTTGTGCGATGCCCCACCTAAGTCTTTCTAAAATTCTTATACCTCTTATGTAATTTAACTCTGGACGAGTCCATTTTTGGATTCCCAATTTTAACAATCAAATTTCCCCCTTTAACAATCAAACTGCCCTCCTGTGGGGCGTGGGAAACAGTTGTTACTGTTTTAAACCAATCTGAAACTAAAGAAAATTGAAAATGACTATCACACACTAGATAAAAGTATACATAAAGTAACAGTTACACAACACATCTTTCATGTGCATAAGAACCCCCAGTGGTCTAACTGACAATACCTGGTATGTCTCCAAGGATGACATATTTCTGTATTACATGATACCAGTTTTCTGACTGTAGTCTCACGGTCTGAAATCAAGGCAGGAAAAGATGGTAAGAAATTACAAGCAAATAAGAGCTCTCATACATAAAACCGTTCTCAAGTCAGAGATATATTAGATACTGTGAATAGTCCCAGACTATTTTCCAACACTAAAAACAACAATAAAAAGTTTTGGTATAAGTGAGAACTGATTAATTAAAGGACTACCTGCTTCACCTGCTTCGGGGGCTGCGCGGCCTCGGCGCATGGCATCCGCATCGAGTGCTGGAGGTCCTGGGTTCAAGCCCCGGTGAAAGCAAAGATTTTTTTCCCCGTGGACTTCTAGTCATTTCCCCTGGTCTCTGAGTAGTAAGATCGGATGCCCGTGTGTATTGTTGCGCATGTAAAAAAAAAATCCCTTGGCAGTTGGAAATTGAAAAAGAGTAGCCTGATGGCACTGCCTGGGCAAAATTTTGAGTTAAAAATCTACTCAAAGTATTTCAGGATCCTCATTGGTGCTACGAAGTTCGTGCACTGTGCTGAAATTCTTCGGACTCAGGTGTGAGTCAGAAGTAGAACGGAGCACTTATGGGTTACTACCCTTGTGCCATGATGTTGATCCGTATTCTAAACTTTAACCTAGACTTTCAGCCCACTTCCCTCTCTTCCTCCTCCTTCTTCACACTCAACGGCTGTAAACTTTGGTCTTTTTCCAGAACTTGACTTTTGCATGCACATCTGTTTTACAGTTCTTTCTCATTTGTATGTAGACTCTATTTCCTCTTCTCTCAGGCAGATGCATTCCAACTTTAAAGGTTACATCCCATTCCTTCTTCTTCTGCCTTTCTATCCCCCAATGGAGCATAGGCCCTCAACCAACTCACGCCAAGTCGTTCTATCCTTCGCCATTGCATGAAGCTCTCCCCATGTCCTCCCAATCTTTCTAGCCTCATTCTTCAGCTCTCTTCTCCATGTGTTTTTTGGCCTTCCTTTATTCCTATGCCCCTGTGGGTTCAAATGCAAAGACATTCTAGTTATGCTGTTCTCCTGTTTTCTCAGTGTGTGCCCTATCCAACGCCAGCGTCTTTTCCTCACCTCCTGATCCACTGGAGCCTGTTTAGTTCTCTCCCAAAGTTCTACATTAGTTATTCTATCATACCATTTTATTCCTTCTATTCTGCGCATGCACCAGTTAATGAATGTCTGTAATTTATTAGTAATTGCCTTGGTTGTTCTCCATGTTTCCGCCCCATACAATAGTACTGATTTGACATTAGAATTAAAAATTTTTAGTTTAGTGTTTCTTTTAATTTCTTTTGACCTCCACAAATTCCCTGGTGCTATGAAAGCCCCTCTTGCCTTTTGTATTCTTATTTTAATATCTCTATCAGTTCCTCCATCTTTATCTACATTACTGCCTAAATAGGTGCATGACTCCACGTCTTGGAGTGGGGTGCCATTAAAAGAAACCACATTACTATTTGCCTGATTTATTCTCATTATCTTTGTCTTTCCTTTATGGATTTTCAGACCAAGCTGCTGTGATCTCACATTAAGTATATTTAATTTATCTTGTATCTGATTCCGTGAATGGGACAGAAGAGCAATATCATCAGCGAAGTCCAGATCATCAAGCTGTTTTGTAGGGGTCCACTGAATTCCATTCTTGGTGTTAGCAGTTACTGTGGTACAATATTTTTTATGTACCCCTGATGTCACAATGACGTCACAGGAGACATTCCCAATAAATTTTAGGGTGTTTAAGTTGTAGTTTCTCGCGGTTTCTCTACATCTAAGTTGTTCACATCGCAAAAGCGCGCTCTTGCAAAGCGTGCGCTTTACTATGACGTGCAGTGTTGCCACTTCGGATGTTTTACATCCACATTTAGATGTTTTCCCTTCCATTTAGATGTCTTTTTGACGTTTAAATGGTAGATGCTTTTCTAGATTCTTTTCATATGTTTTCCCTTCCATTTAGATGTCTTTTCGACGTTTAAATGGTAGATGCTTTTCTAGATGCTTTTTATGTTTTCCCTTCCATTTAGATGTCTTTTCGACGTTTATATATATTTTTTTTCTTTTAGTTATTGTTTTTTTTATTTCAGTTACTCAAACTTTGAACTCTCACTGGGGTCAAAGTTAAAAAAAATTTTGGCAGCTACGGTACTGATTAATTAAAAGGGCTCGCAAATCACACTTACTTTGTTTCAACCGTATCCTCACTGTGCTAACTTTGTGTTTCTTTTTCATGTGATTAAAAAAAAGTAATTGCACACCTTCATATGTGGCTTTCACTTTGAAAAAAACATTTCAACATGCTAAAAGTAAAGTATGAGCAAAAATATTGGCAGTTCCCGGGGATATCACCAAGGCTCGTTGTAAGTAGTCATAAATCGCACAAACCACGAATGACGTAGCGCCAGCAACGGTCAAATCATTATTTGTTTCGTTGCCGGCCTGGATTTGCTTAACATAAACAATCCATACAGACGTTTATCTGACATTGCAGATCTAAGCCATGTTTTTACACGACGTAATGTGCTGAACGATCGCTCCACAGTACATGTTGTTGCTGGTAATGTTAGCAAAACTAGTAAGGCATACCTGACACTCAGATAAAACTTTGTAAAAGGTACAAGTCGATAAAATCTTGTTTACTTCTGTATTCTCGCGTTTTCCAAAAAGTCAAACCAACTCAAGGCTTCAGTTTCAAAATTATCAATGTGGTATATCTGATTAATAGTAGACATTATATTCTTAAACTGTTTATGATTCAGTTTGCACAATTTCGAAGGATGTAGCAATGCTAAGTTAAATTGTGCACTGTTGGCTTCACAAAATCGACTCTCAATTGAGTTAATTAGAGAATCTAAGTATGAAATGTAAACTGTTTCAACATTTATGGTTCCCGGATTATTTCGATACTTTTGTCTTCCACACTGTCTTGGGATAATCAGTTCAATATCCACTTTCTGTGCGAGTTGTAGTGTTTTCTCAAAAATGTCCCTGAAATAGTTATCGGAATCACCTCGGTGAAGTTTTACTACACTGAGCAGGTTTTGAACTTGCAGTTGGACTTCTGGAAGATCAACTTGAACAGCTAGAAGAGCCTGAGTAACTGGTTCCAGTATGGCAGAGTACTGAGAAATAATATTGAGACAAAATAAAAACGTGCTGGACTTTGATGAACAATGTAACTGATGTGCAGCCTGTCGTGTATTTCCACTTGCATGCAATGAAAATGTTTCCAGTTGACAATAAATGTCTGCAAATTTACTAGAAAAAATCCGAATACTTTTATACTTGCTAGTCCATCTTGTTTCACACAAAAGAGGAATATTTGGGACAGAGGACCTCCTTTTTGGGCTTTCACGAAAAAAATATAATAATTGCTTTGATAGTACTAATAGTATTTCGTATCACTGTAACATTATTAAGATCATTTACAACGAGATTCAGTATATGCGAGGCACCGTGAACAAAGCCAGCCTTGGTGTAAATACTTCAAATTTTTTGCCTGAACACCATTTTCTTTTCCGGCCATTGTCGAGCACCCATCATAACCTTGACCCAGCAGATTATTAACGGAGAAGGCCAAACGTTTTGCAATGTTGAATAATACAAATCAGATGTTGTGGCGGCGTCCACACCTTTCAGCGGAGAAAAATCAAAGGAATTCCACACGAATCATAGCCTTCTCATACGAGACGTATCTACAAACCGGACTCCCAGTGATAACTGTTCTGTTCCTAAGATATCTACTGTTTCACCAGTGCTATGATCGAGAATCCAGCAGCATTGTTAGCAGCTTCTCTACAATGTCTTCTCGCAGAGCTTGTTCACACAAATTGATCAAATCATTCTGCGTTCGGTGTGATGTGTAACGTGCATTTCCAGCAGCTGTATCAAAAATGTTTTTTTTTTGTTTTAATACTGTCTCCTTCCTAAATTTCGATACGCATAAAGTTTTTCGACATTTCCTTTGGTGCTATCTTCCCCACGAATAGTGCCAAATCATTTGTTCCGCAAAATAAGATTTGTTGAAATAAAAGGATACAGTTTCTTTCTGTTTTTCTTCAATAGTTCGTTTTTACGGAATTATCTGACAAATAATATCCTTTTTTGGATCTCTAATGGTTGACGCGAAGTGTTCAGCATCTTGTTAAGACCCACAATGCCATGTTGAGCTGGTATGGTTTCTATCACATTCATTGAAATCTTTGTACTTTGTACAAGGAGTAGTAATGAAGATGTTTTCCACGCAAATTTGGATATTTTTAGATCTTTTTTGACTCCATTTTGGATGTTTTTGTCAAAGAAAAGTGGCAACACTGATGACGTAGGTTTACCGCTCTTTTCCCCGGAGTCAGTCAGTTGCCATTGTTTCCAAGCAGCAGTCACGATGAATTTTTAACAGCTAGTTGCATCTGTACAGACAAAGAAAGCAGCATTGCCTTCCTGCAACAGCATGGCATTTTGCACAAGAACCAGAAGTTGCAGAAACAACCATCAGAATGCTGCTTATCACGCTGTCTGAAAGACACGACCGTTGGCAGCTGTAGAAAGGTCCATTTTGTCGTTGTAGACTATACTCTGCGGCGCAAAGGACATGGCTGGAAGGATCACGGCTCCCATATAGACAGATCATTTTTTTTATATACTGCTGGCTCACGAGACTGACAATCATTCGCGATTTTGCAAAGTAAGCTGAGCATGTCGCTGACTGCGACGGTGGAAATGGAGCAAATATTCCTAAGGGGAGGTTTTGTGCCTATACTTTGTTATTGAATCCTGCAGTGATCGGTGGGGAGAACACGAATACTGTTTGAAATCAATGAAAGTCGCTTTTGCAAGACGTAAAAATTAGAGTTTGATGTGTTTTTTGTTGTTTCGACCACGTTTCGTTTTTTCTTAGATGTCATAGCTCCACAACAGTGGGTATTTTGGCGGAGTCTGTCGCGAGACTGGACCGAATGCTTTCTGGTCTGCGTCCCAGACAGAAAAAGCAGGAGACGAAAATCAATCAGACCCGAAACGACAAGTAGTTTCCGACACTGTGGCGTTGCATACAATGGAAGATTTGAGAATATTCCTGATTGACGCATCTACCGTCAAGCACTCCATTAATTTTGTCGACCCCACCAACAGGTGTTGCTCATACGCAATGCATCGAATGTTTGTGGAGGTCGGCAAAGGGACTGAGAAACAAGCGCCAGAATGGCACCCAGACATTTATTAAAATCTTACATGTGTGAGATTTCTGTGAAACGCAGGCGCGTTCAATGTAGCGGGTGTGGGTGGGCGACATGTTTGAAACCATATTAGCAGACATAGCTAGATTCTGGCCCCACCGCAAAACTACTAGTCCGTTCGTCACTTCTGCCACCGCAGTTTGACCTCAGTCCAGATCTACTAACGTGTAAAAATCTCTGTGATTGTCCTATTCGTGCGTGAACCCAGCAGTATTATGTAGAATGATTGCCCTTTTTAGGGCCCCCCACAGTACCCCAATTGGCATTTCCTGCGATTGCACAATAGAGTTCAACATAGCCAAAGTGCACATTTAATGTAGTGAAAAACATAGTGAAAAAAATAATCGTTGTGACAACAAACACACATACACACAATTTACATTTTATTTAAAAAAAAACGTTGTGACAACAAAATCACATACACACACACACAATTTACATTTCATTTAAAACACACAATTTACATTTTATTTAAAAAAACGTTGTGACAACAAACACACACACACACAATTTACATTTCATTTAAAACACACAATTTACATTTTATTTTTTTAAAAACATTGTGACAACAAAAACACGCACAATTTACATTTCATTTTTCAGTTGCGCATCAACAAGCAGCCAAATGCGCATCAACAGACCGAAATATGTCGCACCATAAGACACTAGATGAACACTCAAAAACAGCAGCAGACAGCAGCACACTTGCACCCCTTGAAATAATGGACTGTCAAGTCAGCTGTGGAATTCCCACGGGAATTTCGTGTTTGGGGGACGTTAAAAATATAGAACCGTTACTGTTTTCATAGTCCAGTCTATAGCCAGTAAAAATAAGAGAGGCGACAAAAGACATCCCTGTCGCACACCTGTTTTTATTTCAAATGCATCTGTTAGCTTTCCCTCATGAAGAACTCGACATTTCATGTCTTTATATGTTGCCTTTAATAAGTTGATAATTTTCTGTGGGATTCCATAGTGCCCCATCAATTTCCAGAGAGATTCCCTATCAATGCTGTCAAATGCTTTTTCATAGTCTATAAATCCAATGTAAAGTGGTGGGTTCAGTTCAATGCTTTGCTCTTTTATAATACGTAATGTGGCTATCTGATCAGTACAGGATCTGTTTGACCGAAAACCTGCCTGCTCATCTCTTAGTATTTTATCAATAGCATCTTTTAATCTTTCCAAAATAATTCTACTTAATATTTTTCCAGGAATTGACAGCAACATAATTTCTCTATAGTTTTCACACTCCTGTAGATCACCTTTTCTGGGCAGTTTCACAAGATATCCTTCTCTCCAGTCGGCTGGTATTTCTTCGGTCTCCCAGACTTTACTGAATAATCTATGTAGCAATTCTGTTGATGTGTTTATGTTGGTCCTGATGGCTTCAGCTGGGATACCATCTGGGCCTGACGCCTTTCCTTCTTTGAGAAGATTTATAGCTTTTCTAATGTCCTCTTTGGATGGTATCTCACAGTTGATATCCAGTTCCATTTCTAAAGGCTGGATATCTGGGGGAACCTCTGGGCCTGGTCTATTTAGAAGCATTTTAAAATATTCAACCCATCTGTCCATTTGATCTTTAGTGTTAGTAAGTACCTTTCTTTGACTATTTTTGATTGATCCAGTTGGCTGACTATATTTACCTACTAATTTTCTTGTGTTACTGTAAAGTTCTCTGAGGTTTCCTTTTGCTGCTGCTGTCTCCGCTTCTTGTGCTAGATCATTTAGATATTTCACTTTATCTGCCCTTATATGCCTCCTAACTTCCTTGTTGGCTTCTGTGTAATTCTCCTGAGCTCTAGCTTTAGCAGCTCTAGTTTTGCTATTGTTTAATTCTGCCTGTTTACTTTTCCTATCTTCAATCAGTTTAATGGTTTCTAGTGTTATCCATGCTTTATGTTTCCTTTCTTTCTTGCCAAGAACTTCTACGCAAGATTCATTCCAGATTCCTTTGATCTGATCCCAGCAGACTTCTGTGTTTGACATCTTCAGCTAACTGCTGCAAACACCTGGGTACTTATTAGAGACCGTAACTGAGAACTGTTCCTTAATTTCTTTATCTCTGAGAAAGCCTACATTATATTGGTTTCTATGATTATAAGATGTTATATATCTTTTAAGTTTCAACTTGATTTTACTTATCACCAGGAAATGGTCAGTAAATACAGCGGCACCTCTGAAAGCCCTAACATTGTAAAGGGATGATCTAAACTTTTTTTTAAATACATATGTGGTCAATTTGATTAGTTGTCTTATGGTCTGGTGATTCCCATGTTGCCTTGTGTATTCTTTTATGGGGAAAAATACTTCCACCAATAACATACTGGTTACCTGCAAAAAAAATCGTGAACAATTCTCCATTTTCATTCATTACTCCTAGACCATGTCTCCCCATAATTTCTTCATAACCTGTGTTGTCTGATCCTATCTTAGCATTCAAGTCACCCATCAACATTTTAAAGTTGCCCTTTCTTTCATTATTTATTCCAGTCGACTTTTACAACATGCCTGTGGGGGAATGGGGGTGTCCCCTTGCCAAAATGGCTCTGAACCCAAAGAGGATTATCTCTGTGCCCTTTATTCTTTTTTTTTTTAAACTAATAATTTAAAGAATTACTGGATACAATCTGAGGTACTTATATATACCGCACCTGTGATTAATAGCGGCATCTTTCAAAGAATACATCCAATAATACTGAGCGAGTTAGTCATTCCTAAGTGAACTGCCGTATGTTTAGATACAAACATTAGATGTCTTTTATTTCGTTTAGGTTTCCATGTGAGTGTGTGTATTATTCATGTTTCCGTTTTTGTATGTGCCTTAATGTAGTTATTTTGTCATTTCTGTATTTATTTTTTTTTTACTGATGGTGTATTGCTACATTATTTGTGACTGTTTTATTGCATGTTTTATTGCACAGATGAAAACCTCCAACTGATTGTCTTTATTATTATTTTTGAACACAAAGCTACAGATGCCCGATATCATTTGTGTATCCAACCTAAAGAAAGTAAAGGTTGCAAACAAGTCAGCTGCTTACTCCTCTTCATAATAAATACTGTCACAGTATCAGAGTCAAGAAAAGCACCCTTAACATCTAAGTCTGAGGGTCTATGACTTCTCATTTGTATGCCATTTTATGACAGTAAGAAAAAAACAAATCTTACCAAATCATACCAAAAAAATCAAGAATTACTGGTTATGTATGTTTCAATAACCCTCTCAGTTGAAAATATTGCAACCCTTACCTCATTTATGCTTGCTGCAATGTCTTTGAATATTTCCTGTGGCTCCAATCTGAAATTCATATTTATATTTGTAGAATCTATTCCTCAGCTTCATCACAATTTACCCTTTTTGCTCAGCAAATTTATTTTAAAATAACCTTTTTCCCCAAAGCGCATTAAATAAAAGATGCATCCTCATAATTTTTAGACTATGAATTATCTTAGGAAGATAAGAATAATCAAAAGAAATCTGGAGTATTGGTCAGTTTTTATACAGATGAATCTGGAGTCTTGGTCAGTTTTTATACAAATAAATCTGGAGTCTTGGTCAGTTTTTATACAAATCCGCGGGCTGGAACATAAAATCACCAAGCAGACAGGAATGCATAAGGGCTCTGTCCCCATCTTCACAGCAAACGAAGAGTTCCAATTTCGATGGCACCAGTAACTATCTGATTGTATATTAGTCTCGCATTTTCCTTGAGTGTTGAGCATCTCGGCTACATCCCATGATAATTCCTTGCAGCGCCATTCTCCTCAGACCGTAAAAATCTATTTGCACTTCCACACTGTTCACTCGCTCCCAGAGGGCTCTCACAACATCTAGCTTATCATACATCAATTCCCCACCAAGTGGTGCAGAGCCAGCCAATCTTTCTGCCTGCTCATTTACCAATGCATCGGCATCACCTGGAGAGAATATCCAAAGGATACTAACTACCCGGGACCTCTAAAGTGATGCTTGCCACCTGCACAGAGCATACCTGTCTCCACCTTTCTCAGCATGCTCTGTAAGTCAGTGACAATCACGGCATGTGTGTACAGCTGATTCTCAAACCAGCGGAAGGCAGTAGTGACTGACTCCACCTTCATTCTCAAACTAGACGTTGTAATATCATATGTCAGGCTTTGCTGCACTAAACGATGTCCATTTGCCTTTGCCATAAACCCCCATGCACTTCGTCTGCCCCTCAACACTGCCTCCACGTGATATCCATAGGACAGCCTTCTATCGAAAGTAATACCCAGGTCAAACAGACAGGCAAGCCTTCAAGCCACTCTCATCACACAAATAAAAAATAAAGATCCTTTTAGTAATATTAGACTGGCTTTATATAAAAGAAGTAATGAGAAAATATTAACAAAACAAAGAATTAGCTTTCCCTCCCTTTGACCATAAAATACATGATTCTATTGATAGTCATGTAGGCAACATCAAAAAAAAATTTGACACACACCCCCCCCCCCCCCCCCCCATAAGACGACAATTTTAAAACCAGGATTTGTCCATTTTATGAGTGACAAGATTATAGCCAGTGCATCTACACAATTACACAGCTGCAACAAGTACCAAAGCTGTTATATAGGTAGTAACCACTGCCTAAAAACATCATGCCATTTAAAAAAATTAAATAATTTAAAAAAAAACAAAAACACTCAAAAGTTGCAAAAGTGAGAGTCACTGTGCAAGAATGTTTAAATAAAATAAAGTAGGCTAATTTTTCAACCGATAACACTCTTCTTAAAGAGAAAAAAAATAGCATCGCCAATGCATCCAGCTCCCCCCCCCCCCCCCCCCCACAATTTCACTGCCCTCGTTTAAACCAACTTAAAAAACAATCAACATATGGTATGGTTGAAACAAAAACACAGACAAACAATGTAAGATATGGATGACACAAATGCAAAATACAAAGATCAGTAACAAACCAGTAAAGAAACAAATCTGACAAGATATCTGCAGCAAATGCAGGTGTAACTTACAGTTTATCAGAGTAAAACTCAGAAGGCAGACTATCCAATGTGCGATCCGTGTGATGATGCAGACGAACCTCTTGTTCAACCCTTATATCCACCATTACCTGTAAGAATCATACAACTCATTATGTCACTTCTAAACATATCACTTTCTTAGCTTCCATGCACACACATTTGGAATAGTATAATTTAGCAAGGAGTTCTGCCTCCTCATGAGTTTAAGATCAAGGTGGGGCATATACACAAACAGTGGCTCCATCTGAAACAGCATGCAGCGTTTCACAAAATCACTTTCATTTTTCGCAACTCGTCTGTTGCAGGTTTTCTGAATGATGTGGTGCATCATAAATAACATTTCCCGTGTGGGTTATAGGGCCCTATTATAGGGAAAACAAGAACAGACCCTCAAAAGCATGTCGTAAGATTCGACTAATTGGGAGCTTCCTTCGAAGTCGGAGCGCATCTGCCGATAGGCAAGGAACCAACAGTCTGTATACAAATTAGTCAGATCTGTCAAACGGATGCACACGTAACATTCAGGTTTTAGAACAGGACTGCAGTCCAGAAGTGGATGAACAACCAGAACTTTCTGCCGGAACGTGAGCAAATAAAAAAAAAAAAAAGAAATAAATAAATAACATTCAGATTATAAGAAACACAGTAACAATAATTATTTCAGATGAAGCATAACACTCTGATTTGTAAGAATGCTTGTATAACACCACTACATGAAAACAACACTGGTTATGTTTAAATTGTCCTGCAACAATGAATACGTAAAAACTCATTATGTAAAATCATAAATGACACCCATCATATTTTTTTTTTAAAAGGTGTAAATCCCTAATTAAATATAAATGATGATCATTATTTGCAAAATTTGCAAAATCATAAACACACAGTAAATAACTTTCCAATACTGACTGTGAAAACATAAATAATATACCTATCTGAAAGAGAGGGGGGGGGGAGGGAGGGGGGAGGGGGAGAGAGAGAGAAAAGAAATCAGTTTTATTGATTATATAAGATCATGACTGACATTCTGATTGTGTAAACACAAGAATGTAAGACTGCTTCAGTGAAACCATCAAGAGTCAGCATGATGCCATATATTATGTAAAACCCATACATTACATAAAATCGTGACAACCTGTTGAGAATAACTGACCTTGTAGTAAGCCCACAAGTAATCCATCCAGGAGGAGCTTACTGGTAGAAGAGCATGAAGATTTCCACTGAGGGCACCATAGACAGCTCTTTCATAGCAATCAAAGTCAGGCTGCACACAGACAACACTGATTAGTCCAGAATAAGGATCTTATGTCATTGTTAAACAAAATTTACACTACTGAGCTTTAGGCGCAACTAGATATAATCTCACCGTTGCCAACACTGAAGAGTTTGATGACATTTACTGGAGTTAGATACCTTCATTTCATCATTACACTATCACTACATGGTTCCATCTATCCTATAGATAAAATTAAGACTCACTAAACAAACTACAACACTGAAAAGAATGTATCTATTGTACTGTTTAATTCTGACATTCTATCATAATATATTGTTGTGTTGTTTAAATTCACAATAGTTTGCTGTGTTGTTTAATTCTGACATTCTACTCAAAATATATTCTTTGTCAGCCATGAACATGGCAATTTTCAGATCTTCCCAATCCCACAAAATGTTTTTTTTTTCCCTGTAAGCAAACTTCATTACAAGCTCTGAATACTTGCTAACACATACGATGTTTTCTTCTTTTTATAGCTGAAAGTGTGTAATTTGTTTTCACATAAATAGCTCATAAATCAGCCATTAATTCTAGCCTCTCCTGGCTGCATGAAAGTCAACGATAAACAAATCTGAAGCACAAAGTGAGTCTGAAATATGGCTACATGTTTAACTGCATAAAATGATCAGACCAATTGTCCTATATGGCTCTAAAACTGGAATACAACTAAAAGAGACAGAACCCTATTACACATTTTTTTTAACAGTCTTGATAACTTTCTGGGCCCATAAAACATACAGATGGTGAATGGAGAGTGAGAAATAATAATGGCATTGATATAATCTGTTTAAATGACCGCTAATGACTGACAACATGAGATCTAATAGACAAACAAAGAGATTGCCAGGAATCAGAGACACACATTGCATACACTAAAGAGCTGAATGAAAGTAAACTATGAGGTAGACCAAATGGATCGTGGAGAGATAATATCCAAGCAGACCTGCAAACAAATGGAGTCACCAAATGGACAGAGAAGGCCTGTCAGAGAGAGGACTGGAGGTGGATGTCTTTTGCAATAATGAACATCAAAGTTCAGAATGAGGCAGAAGATGAAACTGTGTTTCTGACTTGTCCTGTAATTAGCAAATTCAGAATTCCACTTACCTCAGATGCCATTCGCCAACATACTGCTTTCCAAACATCCCTGTATGGATTGCCTTCTACTGGGGCCATGTCTAGAGATGATGATACTGTGTAATAGTTTGGATCATGAAGCAAGCGCCAGCCCTCAAGAGTTGCTGATCTCCATGGCTGACCACAGGCTTGGCATAACTCCTGGGCCTGAGAAACAGCAAACAACAATCTGAATGTATTCCTACAAATTGTTATATATCTATATCCTCTTTATGTCGCTGATGACACACAATACATCCAAAAGTTATATCTCCAATACTGCCGGTCAGCTGTTTTTCTGTTCACTGTATCCCACGTCATGTTAAATTCTTTCAATTCTCTTTCTACTGTCTTTCTTCAGGTCAACAAAATACCATTGCCCATCTTGTACTTCCCTAAGTCTCACAAGGCTTTCTACAAAAATGTCCAAGCCATCTCCATCTTCCTTTGATAACACTTCCCTGGTGTTGAAAGTCAGAACAGGACATAAAGTAGAAACAGTGAGTTGTAGTTTTCCAGAAAGAAAAAAGAGATAAGTTAAATATTTTAGCATGTTAAAAGACATTATACTCTTACAAAAACAACAGTGGAGTGCAAAGTTGAGAGGCAGAAGCAATACAAGTGGGAGGACATCATCAAAAGATGCACAAAGAGCTGTGTGACAGAGTGCACAATTAAGATGGCAGACAGAGCGTGTGGGAGATCCACTGCAGTCAACCTTCACTGTGGAGATGGCACCTGACCAACTGAATGTTTCAAACCTGTTTGCAACACTGTTATCACAATCGACATCAGAGTACATGGGGCATTCCCATGCGTGCTCATCTTCCGATGCAGCATCCACTTCAAGGTACTTCTAATTGTTCCCATGAGAGGTTTGTTATAATGCCTTCACTCTCTGCATAAAAAACGGCACAGACATGCTTCATTCCCATGTCTCGCAATCGTGTTAGTGTCAGATATTCTGCATTATCAATTAACCCGTCCCTTCAGCATTGATGATATATGCTCTGTCCATGCTTCTTTCCACATGCATTGGTGTACCGCTCCCTTATTACCTTTGAAGCCAGCATGACTAGGTGTGTAGAATCAGGATTGTAGCAGATTGCTAAACATGGTAGACTGTATGACATGCAAGTAACTGCAACCAGTTGTAAAATATTCTCAGACATCAAATCGCACATAATAACAAAATTACAAACAAAATATTCTTCATCTGACCTTTGCCAGCTGCCCTGCCCTAATAAAGATGTACAGATGTTGGGTGAAAAACCGATCATCTTCTTGGTCTAAGTCATCCAGAGATCTTTTCTGCCGCAGAGGTGCATCTGGGTCCTGAAAAATATCACCATACAAACGATTAATATGAATAAAACCTTTTCCCTCAAAGATTTCCACTGTGAAAAGCTTAAAGAAAGGCTCACAGTCTCCAGTTCAATAGTAACAGTTCATATTCTCTATGTTTAATACAATTCATAATTTCTAATGCCCATAAATTTCTGAGTGCTATGGAAGCTTTTATGGCTGTTAATATTCTTATTTGGAAATTTCTGTTTCTACATCTTTGTAAATACTGTTATCCAGATGTGTGAATGATTCCATTTATAAAGTGGGGTTTTAGGTAGGAGATTTTGTTATTATTTGCTTGCTTATTTTTAATACCTTTTCCCTTTGAATATTCAGATTTTTGAATTGATTACATATATTTAATTATCTTGCATCTGATTTTTGAGCAGAACATGAGAAAAATGTGATCAGCAAAGTCCAGATCATCGAGCTGCACTATCAGGGTCCTTTCATTCAATTTCTGGTAACAGATGTCTTAATTATCCAGTCTATTATAGCAAGCAAAATTAAGAATAAAAGCAGCACATGTGACAAAAGACATCTTTGTCGAATGCCTGTTCTTATGTGAAATATATCTCTGGTTTTTTCTTTCTCAAGACAAATGTGGCCTTTCACATCTTAATTTTGCTTTAATAAGTTTCTGATTTTCTATATGTACAAGAGTGCCTCATCAATTTTTTAACAGAACAAATGACCAGCTTTTATCAAAGTTACAGGCATGTGCCATAACAGATACCATCAAAGGGATATGGAGTGTTAGGTCTGCACTTAAATTATGTTACATTATTTTTTTTAAACTAGGGCTTAGATAAAGAAAGATTACACAGTATAGGTCACATATCTTTCAAAACTGTTACCTAAAAAAAATCTACCATCTGGTAGACAGGGTCTTTGACACTGGATGAAAAGTCTCTAGAAGAAATAATTAGATCATATGTGTCACATAAATACTTCCAGATAGCTGGGTAAATCATATAGCTGGGTAAATATAAAACAAAAAAAAAAACAACAATACAAACCATTTCAGTAATGCATCTGTCAGCAGATGATCGCAGGCCTTGTTTGCGTTTCTGTAAATGGTGCAGGGTGTTTTCCCTGCAAAATACAAATGAAGATCAACTACAAATAACCATAGCTTTATTGTGTCTTGAGTGAAAAAAAAGGCACACATTATAAGTTTTATACTGGCATCATGGTAAAAAATCCATAGAAAATGAAGACTATTAACAAAAACCTTTTTATTATTTATAAAAAGTAAAAAAAAAAAAAATATAAAGTTGGGAGATGTGAACCAGCGTCATTGCACATGGTTATAAACCATAAGTGCTCTGCCACCAGTACGGACAGCTGATAAGAATTGTCCACCTGTGTCGCCGTTCGCACATAACTCTGTAGCTACAGAACGTTCCTCCATTTACCCCAGAGTATCACTCTGGTACCCATTTCCTAGACGCTGGGTGAACCCCGGGAGCCGACAGGTTTCGAACACCGACCGTGGGCTGCAGCGAGTCGCAACTGGATTTGAAAGCGAGCTTCTTATCGACTGCGCTAACGCGGCCCCTATATAAGTAATGCAGTGTATTAGGAAATGAACATGCAGACAGACTGACTGGCTGTGCACAATTTGGTAGTGAGTTGATGCATGACAAGCTAGATGTTGTAAAGGACCTTTGGGGCCGAGTGAACAGTGCGGAAGCACAGATGGATCATCACGGCCTGAAGAGAATGATACTGTGAGGAGTGACCAGGTGATCTGGTCGATGATCAGCACTCACAGGAAAGGTGAGACAGATAAACATTCAGACTGCTATAGCCACTACTGGAGTCGGAACTCTGCACTGGCCACTGAAGATGGGGATAGAGCATTTATGGAAATGTCCAGAGTGCCGTGATGTTGATTCCTAATTAAAAATGTAATGCAGTGATTTTAAGTGTGACCTGGGTTCCCAGGCCCATTCAGCCTAAAATGCATGCATTATTGGAAAGCGAGATCTGACATTTTATCACAGCCCTATCTTGATTACTCTTTTACTTTTGAAATAAAATAATTACTTAAGTCTGAATCAGTTGAACACAGACATTATGAGACAGAAGTACTTAAGTTAATCAATCAGACACATCTAGTTATTATAACATCTGTCTGTGGCAGGAGGAGCTGTGGTGCATCAGCTAGATTCTCGCCTGTGGATCCGAAAGTCGTGAGTTTCAAATCAAACGGAGCTGATTTTTGTTTTTAAAGCGACTGTGGCTTTTAGATTGCCTCAGGTACCAGGTAAATTCCTGGGAAGTAAAGGTGGTCTGTGTGAGGTTGACCACAACACCCACACAATGCTGATTGGTCTATGAAATATAGGTAAGGCACTATATGCCCAAAGGCACGTAAAAGGGTCCTTTACAGCAGCAGAAGAAAACCATTATCCTTGGAATGATAAGGAAACATCACCCTGTTAAGTGCTGATTGGTTTATGAATATATGAGTCTGTATATCATATGCCCAAGCATTAATGGTGGAGAAACAATAGTTCTTCACTTTTTACCTAGTCTTCTTTTTAATATCCATGCTGCTGATGTCTATCCACAACCTTCTGCTTTGTGTACTTTCAGTCAAGTCTGATCAGGATGATCATGGAGGCCATGAGGTCAAACTGTCCAGAATCTGCTCTCTTGGTCTCCCTCTGCCTTTCCTCCACTCCAGCTTTCCTACTGTCACGATGTATTCCAGCTTTCTCATCACATGACCAAAGAATGTAGATTGTCTCTTTCTGATGTGGGCAATCAGTTCTCTTTGTGAGTCAGATTCTTTGAAGACTTCATTACTCTTTGTATCTGTCTAGGGTATTCTCATGATTCCTCTATAAAACCACATCTCCACAGCTTCCAAATAAGTTTTCACTATTGTACCATCTGTCCATGATTAACTTCCGTAGATCAAGATAGGATAAATATAGCTTTTAAGAATTCTCTTTCTCATCTCAGCTGACAAAAAAAAGACTGCACAAGATATTTTTCATTTTGTAAAATGCTGCCTCTGCTTGATCTATTGTATTTTACATTGTTATCAGGATACCCAAGTATTTAAACATATCAACTTGCTTGAGGTTTGTCCCATCTACTTTAATTCTGCATTTTTGAGGGTCAGTTTTCTTTGTAATTACCATTACTTCTGTTTCTCTGCTTTTCAAACTAAGACCCTTTTTTTCACTTTCCGTCAAAATTATATCCATCATTTCGTGCAATAGTGTTTCTTTTTTCAGCGATCAAAACTATATTGTCGCAGGTTGTTAACAATATGCCCACCAACTGATATTCCTGGCATACAATGTATGGATCTAATTATTATTTCACTGTACAAATTGAATAAATTGGGTGATAGTTCACATCCCAATCTAAGGCCTCATTTTGATGTATGGAATAGTTCCAACTTGGTTGTCAATCCTTATGGCTGTAGAGTAGAGGTTTTTATTAATTTTACCTAGTAAGAAAATATAATTAAAAGTAAAACTAAAGGACCCTCATTACCCAGTGCCACATCAGGCATTTGGTGATACTTACATTTGTATAAGTTAATCACCACTCTGTGGGCCAGCAGGGGGAAGTCTAGCCACTAGACCATAACGTGTTATCCATATATCACTACATCCATAAACATTTGCTCACTGGAAGAGTGATATGTTTTTCAGTATGGCCGTACGCAAATGCCAGGCACTGGCATATGGTAAAGCCTGAGGCAGGGGAAATAGAATCATCATCAGGTGCCTTGCCAACTGGCGTGGGCGATCATGCCTCTCCATAATCCACGATCTCCTGGAGCATGTATCAGTTCGTGTGCCGACACATCTCCATGCCATGCAACATGTCAAGAATCTTCTCTCGTTGTCTTCCTCTATCTCTCCTTCCACAGATCTTTCCAGTGGTCACAACATGTTCCATTTTCCCTCTTCTCATAATATGGTCGAAAAATAATGACTGTCTCCTTCTGATGTCTGTGATAAGTTGCCTTTGGGCTCCCGCCTCTTTCAAAACCTCTCGGTAGCTCTTTTTGGCTGTCCAAGGTATTCTAAGCATTCTTCTGTAAAACCACATCTCTGAGGCCTTAAGAAATTGTTTACCCTGCCTACCGATTGCCCAGGATTCACAGCCATATGTTAAAACTAGATTATGTAGCAAGCAATAATTCTTTTTCTTACTCTCAATGACAAGGATATATTGCACAAGATGTTCTTCATTTTATAAAATGCAGTTTTTGCCTGTCCTATTCTGTTTCTTATCTCAGTTTTGTATCTTCCATCTGATGTTATCCATGTGCCCAGATACTTAAATTTATGTACTTGTCCTAAAATAACACCATCAACTTTTTTTTTACACATTTAGGAATAATTCGTTTCTTTGATACCACCATTACTTCTGTCTTCCCATTATTCAAACTGAGGCCCATTCTTCCACTTTCTAACACCACAATGTCTATCATTTCGTGTAGTTCTTTCTGACTTGTTGCTATCAAGAGTGTGTCGTCAGCATAACGTAAATTGTTTATTTTGGGCCCACCAACCACAATTCCGAGCATATCAATTAAAGATCTCATTATATTTTCACTGTATATTGAAAACAAATCAGGTGATAGTACACATCCTTGCCGTACGCCCCTCTTTATGCTTTGAAATGTACCCAAACAGTTGTTAAATCTTATAGCTGCTGTTTGCTGCCAATAGGAAATAGGATACTTTTTGGAAATGTTGAATTATGAAAGGGAAGGTGGGAAGGTTGTGTGTGAAAAAGAAAGAAAGAAAGAAAGAGAGAGAGAGAGAGAGAGAGAGAGAGAGAGAGAGAGAGAGAGAGAGAGAGGAAGGGAGAGAGAGAGAGAGAGAGAGAGAGAGAGAGAGAGAGAGAGAGAGAGAGAGAGAGAGAGAGTGAGAGAGTAAAACAAACATTGATTAATGTTCTGACACCTGCAGGCATCACTATACTTATCCAAACTATTGATTTGGATTTTAAAAACTGGACTTTTTGTTTCAAGTTCGCTGATGATTCTTTTATTGCCAATATAAGAAAGATAATAAACTACATGATAAAAACAGTAAAAAGGTAGAATTGATAAAACCCACACATAATATAAAACAACTCTATGCTTAAGTCAGAGTGCTATTATATTTAATTTGCAAACAGGGAGTTGGTTTTGAACAATGGTAGGAATCAGATGGGACTGTCTACTCCCCCAGATATTGTTTAATAACTACCTGGAAAGAATAATGACTGATGCTCTAGGGAAAAAAAACCAGGAAACAGCACAGGAGGACAAATAAAACAAATCTAAGGTTGGCAGATGATATTTCCATGCGGTCTGGGAAAGAGGACGAACTAGCTATCTAAACTCACTGACCTACTTGATAAAACATCTAACAAGTACAAAATGTGAAAAAATGCAGGCAAGACCAAGGTAATGACAAGTAATCCAGCTTATAAAAACACACCAATTTAGGTTAAAGGTCACACACTAGAACATGTGAATCAATTCAAATATCTATGATCAATTCCTCTTCTTCTTCTTCTGCCTTTCTATCCCCAAATGGAGCATAGGCCCTCAACCAACTCACGCCAAGTCATTCTATCCTTCACCATTGCATGGAGTTCTCCCCATCTTTCTAACTTCATTCTCCAGCTCTCTTCTCTATGTGTTTTTTTGCCTTCCTTTATTCTTATGCTCCTGTGGGTTCCAATGCAAAGACATTCTAGTTATGCTGTTCTGTTTTCTCAGTGTGTGTCCTATCCATTGCCAGCGTCTTTTCCTCACATCTTGGTCCACTGGAGCCTGTTTAGTTCTCTCCCAAAGCTCTACATTAGTTATTCTATCTACCATTTAATATCCTGTATTCTGCGCAGGCACCAGTTAATGAATGTCTGTAGTTTATTAGTAATTGCCTTAGTTGTTCTCCATGTTTCCGCCCCATACAAAAGTACTGATTTGACATTAGAAAAAAAATTTTTTTAGTTTAGTATTTCTTTTAATTTATTTTGACCTCCACAAATTCCCTAGTGCTATGAAAACTCCTCTTGCCTTTTGTATTCTTATTTTAAAAACTCTATCAGTTCCTCCATCT